TCTAGAGCTCAAGTCAGCAATTTCTTTTCTTGAATTTCCTTCGAATTTTCGAATCAGAGTAGATATGTCTATGACTATCGGCTATCACTGGGGTTAATGGACTGCTAGCGCGGCTCTGAGCAAAAATAAGCCCTTCTAGTTGGCCTCTGCCTCAACTTTTAAAAGTTTTGTGTCAATATTCGCATCCGCCATCGTAAATAGTCTTCTGCCCCCAACAGAACATATCCAGGCACTGCCTCTAGTTGATCCCCAGCCATTGACTAATTGACCGGTGGATGACAGTTGTATACGGATGAGCTAATATTGGACCATTAAAAGGCGTTAGTTCGGGTATTTTTTTAACCAATATGCAGGCTGGAGTTTATCTGACATATTTGTATAAAACCGTCGTCTCCATAAACCAGTAGCCACTTATCTGTCAGTTACGAGGACTGCTATTATGTCTACCGCCATCATCGACTCCAGCGCTCTTACCACCCTTTCGTGCATCAGCCCGCAGTTTAACTTCCAGCCGTCTTCAAAACTTACCTTGCAAAACGACGAAATACCTCTTAGCAGATCTTATTTTTAGACAAGCATTGATTGTGATTTCATCTCTGCTTTCGTGATATCGGCCCACTGTTCCTCAGCCTAGTATAATTGATGTTCTGCTGCAGATCATTTGATGAGAATTTTTCAAAATCATTTGTATTCGCATTTTATGCCTGCTTCTTAACATTTATACATGCAACAGAGGCAAATGTGGTGTTGCCATCTTAACAGGTTGGCTTTCGTTTTCAGTTACAAAGAAAGAAAAAGCGCAAAACGCAAAGCAAAAATTGAAAACAAAAGTAAAACACAAAAAAAAGGTCTGTATGCCGCCAAAGAAAAAAAAAATAATACAACGCATAACAGAGCGCAGCCATCAGCCGCAAATTGCAGTATTCAGTGGTAGGTAGCGGCACTGATTGCACTTGCCCATCACAGGCTCTGCACGCCCATTGATGAAGAAGACCTTTGACTGAATAGCGCGCGGCTGGTCGGAGTTTGTTGGTATCGAATCAGCTGGTATCGACGAAGTTGCTGCTGGCGACTACACTAGCAGACTCTCACTAACCGGCTCCACAATTCATTTCAGGCTCGCTCAAAGCATATCGATGAAACAAAGGTTGAAATCGTATGCAGATTGTTGGCTTGCTGGGTCTTTTGCTCTTTGTTTCTGGTCGACGTCAGCAATTGGATAGTCACGTAAAAGTATTATAGTGTAGCACATAAGCTACTCAATCGACTGCATGACGTTTATTCATCAAATTGCAGCACGCTTTCCATTAAGCGCGCGGTATTAAGCTATCCATGGAAAAAGCAATGAGGAGGGCATTAAAAAGAAAGAGGCTCAAAAGTACAAAAACGCGAAACCAACGAAACCTTTCTTGCTACCTCCACATGCGCTTTCTGCCAACTGACCACCATTTCAGCTGCCCTTTTGCGGTACTTTGGTACTCCTCTTTCGACTTGCCAATTTTTTTTCTCTTTATTTACTTTATTTTAAGTATTTTTATTACCTCGCTGCTGCTGTGGCAGCTTCTTTTAAACTCTTTTTAACTCGAACTTCGATAGCCTCCCTTGCGTTTTCCGATTTTCATATCTCCATGCATCGCAATTGCCACCAGTGTTGCATAGCAGCACCGAGTTTTCATGGTGGTCAATTTATGCCATTTTGCCCCTTCTTTCTTCCTTTTGCAGCCGGTCATGCCGCATTTACCAAATGACCCGTATAACTTTGTCTTCATCCTGTCGATTTTTGTTGCTGCTGTCAGTTTGTTGAGCAACTTCCAATTTCTTCCCGGCCAGAATTGCCATCACGTTGCCTCCTCTTTTGTGCTCTCGTGCAGCCAGTCAACTGGATGGTGTTGGTCATGTTTGTACGGCCCCTGCGGGCAGTTGAAGTAAATTAACTTTTAAATTGCGCCAAAAAGTTCGCAAGTGAAAAAAAAACCTCTGAAAATAAATCAAAAAATAAATGTAAAAACATTGGTTAAGGATGGTAACAAAAAATGCCGCATAATAAGAAACTGAAACGTGCATTTATTTAGTAACTGATTCCTTTATTACACGCTGCTTTGTTGAATGCTGCTTTTTGTTCTCGACGTCATTGTTCACTTTTCTCCACCTTTTTGTGGGGCTTCACCACTGCTGCCGCTTTAATGATGATGATGCCTCCGATATTTATTGGCCTTTGTTTCGTTTAGTTACTTTATTTTCTTTTTAACTATCTCATACTAGTATGAATAGTACTAATAAGTGTGTAGTAGTTATGCTGTTCGGAAATTGAAACATTTGCAGCGAATTACCTAATTGAAATGCGATTTTAATTGATGAGCTGTCAGGTGATCGCCGATGTGTGTTCATTTGCGCATTGTTTGCGCTAATGATCTCTCAATGCACAAAAGAAAGTGACACATAACGATCTTTGGGTTGAGCCGACAATGGCTGAAAGCGGAGAAAACACTTAGTTTTGTTTATGTTAGAAGCGAGGAAAAAAACCAGGGTTTGAAAAACTGTCAGCAAAGCAGCAACAGCATTACTATTTTTGCTTTTGCTTAGTTTGGAAATTTTCGATTTTGATTCGAACTGCTTTGCTTTTGCTGTAACTTTGAAAAGTTTATTTTTTTTTTTATCGGCAGTTTATTTAAACCATTTTATTGCTTTCGATTTGCTGTGATAGTGCTTTTGCTGTGCTGTTATCTGCTTGGCTGTGTTGTGCACATGACGCTTTTGCAGCATGGTATATTATCCAAGTACATATTAACTCCGCCATCAATGCAAAGCTTATTAGGGTAAGCGACTGTGGATTTGCGCACGCATACATATAATATCCTCTATTTCTGCCAATTCGATGCTTCGCAGCAAATTTATAGTTAAATTGCTGTTGATTTGCTGCTGCTGCGCTGTCTTTGTGCTTTCACAATTTGCTTTCGAAATTTCATAGCAAAACGGCAGCCAAAGCATTTTTTTTTAAATTGCTTTTGCTGTGCTTTGGATATCATACATGCCGAAGTCAAAGCACAGCAAATGCAAATTAAATAAAAATATTACAGCAATTTCAAACCCTGAAAAAAACTATGGGCAAATGAATATTTTCATTCAAATTTTGTAATTTCCGTCCTTCGGCTAAATTATCCATTTTATACTGCTCTGATTTTGAGCATTTGTCAAGTTGCTACTTTCGTAAGCATTGCACTCACAAGTATGCAGTGTAAAACGCACATTTCACTGAATTAGCACATATAGCCAATTCTCAATCGACATATGGTATAACACGCTGAAAGCGCAAGTTGATTTTCTAAAACATTGTCATTTCTTAAGAGTCTATAAATGCTGGATCATTATCCTCCTATCCGAAAGCCAAGAATTTAGTAGTAGAGAGCCCAGCCTAAGAGTTCACTAAGGACTACCGATAATAAACCCTACGTTAAGCTATCGCCTACGGAGCAACAAGACCAAAAAGGGGATAAAGAAACAATCGAGAAGGGCAGGGAGTACATCTCGTATATTGGATGTTGTGCAGGGATGCATTTCACCGTCATCCGTGAGATCGAAGAAAACGTAGCTAAGAGACTGAAAGAAACCAAAAAGCACAAAACTGCCTCTTTTCCACACACGATCAACGAAGCTATTTCCAGATACCTGATCGTATTGTAACTGTTAAGATTTACTCTCTCTACGGAGATAAACTGGATAAAATCAATAAGTAGGGCGTAGAATAGGCTAAGTTAGGTTAAAGGTGTTACCCCAAGGCAAAAGGGCACACTTCGATTAAGAGAATGCCCTTTATGATACCACGAAAAACTTTACGGAGACCATTAACTTAATATACGAATTGCCGCGAGCCGATAACGAAATTTCGAATGCAGCTGGTTTTGAGCTCTGAGAGCCAGAACGCACTTTCATCACAAATGGACTAAACAAAGACTTTATTGCATTAGAAAATAACGTTGAATGAAAAACTATAGGACTGGTGAATTAGTAGTTATCCTCATTTCTCAGTTGTGAGATTCCGGCAGTTAAGCATACCAGCTGCTTAGGTCTCTTAACTATTTCTAACTAGAGTCAAGATTCCTCATTTTTGACCATCCCGTTCTTATTCAGCTTCTATGGAACCATTTTGCGGTTTCACTAAAAAAAATTCTTACGGCTATTCAATGTCCATTATACTAAGTGAGCTGTTAGAAACCCACCCACTTTCTTAATCTATATCTCTGGTCCTTGACGTTTTAATGAATACTACTAGGGGATTCACATGTACTTTCTCCAAAAATGTTTCTGTTTTCCACGTTCATGCGTTACTTTTCTGTAAATTTATGCTTTCCTGCGTTGTCTTTGGTGGAAGGAGTACATAAGACCTGACCAGCCGAGAAAAAAAATATAAAAATACCACAGGCAGAGACTCTGACCTAAGCGGGATCTGGTACATTGGGGAAATAATTGAGGCATAACAATTAATGGGATTAGGAGTATCTTCAGCTTGAAAAATCAATAACCCATTGTCGATGATTTGGTTAGAAGGTTTTAGAAGAATATCTGCTTTAATTCTACAACATCCTAGGAAGGAAAAGATTTGAATAGACCGAAGCAGGTAGTGTTTGCTGTTACTTTCGAAGCCATACAGAAGAAATCATGGATCTCTTCTAAACCATCAACCGCTATCTACCAAATTCCAAATTCATTGACTTTTAATTTTAGTATTTGTACATATGTATGTTTTCAAGGATCCTAGTCTTGGCAATATTTACTGATAAAAGAGTTTTATTTTTCACAAGATTTATTTTGCATAAAATTTATTTTCATTGTTTATAACTAGCATTTGTTTATTGAGTGGTTGACTAAACGTTTAGTCATAAACTGACTGCAAATGTGATTACCTTGTCTTTCCACTTATGCTAATAATATGCAATTAATTTTTATGTATTTTCTACTGTTTTTAATGATTTAATTTTTTTCTAAATTTATTTTTATTTCAGACTTGTTTTAAGTGTTAAATATTCGTCAGCCCCTTACACACATTTTTATTTAAAAAAAAAACTCGTTGATTGACAGTGAGTCAGATTTTTATGACATATGCAGCTGCCATTTTGGTTAAATGAAATCAGCGCTCAAACAAAGGTATGTACACATACATACATATAATTGTGGGTGGGGCAATAATTATCTATGAGTATTAAAAACGTTAGAAACAAACTATAAAGAGACGGTCGATTTTGAAGTCAAAAGAGATAAAAGTAATGAACAAAAGTGTGTTGCAAGGCCTTTTCGAAGGTATGCTTAGAGTCCTATTCTATTGTACTAGAACTTCCAATATTTTTAGCAAGAATAAAAGGCTAAATTTTCTTTATATCTTGTGAGCAGAAACAACCAGCGTCTTTTGTTTTAAAACATTAAAATGATATCGGACCTTTTGAGTTTTTCGAGATTTTTTTTATTTTTTTTTTTGAAAACTGTGGATTGAGGGTTAATTCTATTTCTACGGTTTTTTCCAAAAGATTTTGAATTTTTTTCTTTCCCCTCTTTTTGGAGATTTTCGAAATTTTAAATTTTGTGGAAAATATTTAAGTTTCCTGAGGATTCTTCTAATTTTTTGGAGTTAAAAATTATGCTAATAAGAAATGTTCGCTCAAGTTTTGTTTAGATATTGGTTTGTTTTCGAATTTTTAAATACCGATCTTTTTACATTTAGCGGTTTTGGGTTTTTTTTTTTTAATTTTCGATTTTTTTTTATATACTCGACTTCTTTCGAAGATTTTGAAAGATTTAGTGGACCTGTTCGAAGTTTTTTGAGAACAAAATAAACGTGAATTTTAGAATTTCATTCGCTAAACACTGCTAAAATACGAAATTATTTTTGATTTTGTTTAATCTTTACGAAAATTTCGAATTTTTGCGTGACTTTTTTAAGAAATTTTCTTTTTGTTTCTTTTTTAATTTTTTGAAGTTTCTCAAACTGTTTCGGGATGTTTCGGGGCTTTTCGAAACCTTATTGGATTGTTTAGCTTTTTTTATTTTTCGATAAAATCAGAAAATTTCTGATTTTTTTTTTTAATTTTTAGTTATTTTTTAAAAGATTTTTATTATTTTTTTCACTCTTTGGCACAGTAATTATTCTTTAATGCTTGCTTTTAGTTTTTAAAACAAAAAGGGAAATTATTTCTGAGAATTTCGACATTTTAAAATAGTTACGGGCCTTTTTTGGGTTTTAGGAACTTTTTGGATATCTTCTGTTTCGGTTTTTGTGTGTCTTCCTGAATTTTCTTGTATCATTTGGTAATGTTTGATAATTCTTTTTCTGGGTCAAACTTATTAAAATTAGCGTCATTCTCATTTTAGCTGGAAATAATCGAATTTCTTTAATAGAATATGTTTACAACAAAATTCAAATAAAACTAAAAAGTCTCAACACAAAAAAAAATTCAAATAAAAATATTTTAGAATTTATAGCTCTCTTAGTTTATACAACCTAACCGAACAAAACACACAAAAAATTCAGGAAAAACGTCAGTACAAAGGCGAATCCAATGTTTAATTAGAAAATGTTGTGTAAAAACATCGCATAATATGGCAAACGACTTAATTAAATTCGCGTAAATTTCAATTACAAAAGCAAAACTAAGTACAACAGAAACTAAATTACAAAATTGCCGGCAATGTTTGTGTGTCGGTTTTTTTTGTTTCGTTTCAACTAAAACTATATAAGGTCGTTTTTGTTTGTTGTCTAGGCAGTTATAGACCTATATACATTTATACATGCACACATGTATGTATAGGTATTCCTCCATACAATTGTACTCACATATACATAAGTATATACATTAGGGTGTACATCATCCGCCATACAAAAAAAAGTCGTTAGTTTTCCCACTTGAATTGTAGAATTTATTATATTTTATGACTTCCGCCAAAATATTTCGGTAAAATTTTAAGACTTACGTGAGCGGGATCGATTTGGAAATACTTCCAAAAATAATTTTTTTTATAAATAAAATTAGTTTTTAAAAATATTTTTCCCAAAAAATAGCCTAATATGATAGAAGAATTTATAATAAAAAGGTCTGCTTAAAAATGTTTGAAAATTTTATCAAATCGGTCATTATAAAATATTTCCCAAATATTTTGGCGTAAGTCTAAATAAAATAAATTTTATAATTCAGTGGAAAAACCCACAACTTTTTTGGTGATGCACCCTAACATACATATGTATGAGTGAATATGTCTGCACCCATTTAGGGAAACGCGTCAGCTAATTGACAAGCCGGAACGAGTACGAGTATTTTTCAATCAGTTATCGCCCCCAAGCTGCACAACGGCTGCCCGCTCACTGTACAGCAGAAATTTCTATCGCACAGCATATGAAAGCGTGCTATGAGTTGCGCCGCGTCTGTCGATCGCCGCCGACAAGTGTCGATTTTGCAGCTATTTTTAAATTGTAGCATGAAAATATAAGGAAAAAATCCTACACCACATAGAGGCATTGTGTCTAGAATTGGGAAGGGGCGATATGTAGCGGTGCAAATTTTGCTTACTGTCTGCTAATATATTTACATACATATGCATGTAGGTACTTTGGCGGCAAGGCGGCTGCTGTTGTACATATATTGATGACTTACATATGTACATAGAGAAATTTACGCTCGCTAGTTGGTTTTTGCAGCAGGATATTTACTAAAAATTCCATTCCCTTGTTTTAAGTTAATTTTCATCAGCAATTTAGAGAATTGGGGCTAACATTAAAGCTTAGCAAAGAGATTTGTATAAACGCATTGTATGCCGCTTGCATAAGATATGTACATACATATACTCATATGTATGCATGTGTTTCATATGGTCAAATCTCACGAGTTTTTATATTTTTCTACAGAAACGTGTTTTTGGTCGAAAATGGTATTAGCTCTTTTTTGAGAACGCATTATCTTCAGTTTTGTATAAAGAAAATTTGAAACAAGTAAGAAAGTCTAAGTTCGGGCGGAGCCGAACATTAAATACCCGGCGCAAGTATTAAATATATGTTTTTTCACCCTTCTGAAACCTTCCGCTAGATGGTAAGCCGAGGTGTATCAATTTTGAGTAAATTAGCGTCCTTCAATTTCGAAATATTGAAGTTTCAAGCATTTCTTAAATTTACCGTTATATGAGAATCGGCCGTTATTTTAGTCCGATTTCAATAATTTTCAACGTTTTGCCTACACGTGGCAAGTACAACAACCATACCGAGTTTGGTACAAATTGGTGGAACGGTTACCGATATACTTATATGTGATCATAAGTGGGCGGTGCCACGCCCATTTTCCAAAATTTTACCATAAACGTATTTCTTGGTAAAGAATTGTTGCAAGCATCAATTTTGAATAAATTAGCTTCAATATTTACTGATTTAACGAAGATTTTGTATTTCTCTGAATTACCGTTATATGGGATGTGGGCGTGGTTGTTGTCCGATTTTAAAAAGTTTCAGCAGTTTTTTATGCTGTACCAAGGCCAACAACTGTGCCAAGTTTGGAAGAAATTGGTGCAGCGGTTACCAAGATATACACATGTAACCATAAGTGGGCGTGGCTACGCCCATTTTCCAAAAATGTATAATATTCTTATTTTTCGTCTAAAACTTATTATAAATATCAATTTTGAGTGAATAATCTCCAGTAGTTACTAAAATATCGCAGTTTTCGTATTTCTGAAAATTACCGTTATATGGGAAGTAGGCGTGGTTATTGAGCGATTTTAAAAATTTTCGGCGATTTTGTATGTTATGCGAAGGCCAACAACCAGCCAAGTTTGGAAGAAATTGGTGGAGCGGTTACCAAGATATACACATGTAACCATAAGTGGGCGTGGCTACGCCCATTTTCCAAAAATTTATAATATTCTTATTTTTCGTCTAAAAATTATTGTAAATATCAATTTTGAGTGAACTATCTCCAGTAGTTACTAAAATATCGCAGTTTTCGTATTTCTGGAAATTACCGT